AATTTAAAGGATTTGTTGTGGAGTGAGGAGAACTAAAATAGCCTATAAGCTTGCTATTGTGTTTATTGCTTGTTCATTAGGGCCTATAACATTCCGCTTTATTTACCGCTATTATTTCTGAATGTAATTGCGGTTTGTGCTTGAAAGTGAAAGTAACTCAAAAGTAACTCAAAAGTAGTGTAACACATTACAATTCAGAGACAGTAATATTGTAATGTAACTAATTACTTTCAAAAGGCAGTAATAAGTAATATATAATGTATTACATTTTGGAAGCAACTTGCCCAACACTGGTCGTGTGTGAATCTAAAGGTCATGCCGCAGTGTTTGTTAACACTGGTCTTCATCTTCAGGAAAACATACTTATGCAATTTCACACGCATCCTCGCAGGTCCGAGCGTCCAGACCGTCTGACACCAGATCTGTGAAGGCAAACACACAGGCCATGAGGGAAAAAAAAGTGACTCGGCATCTAAATCAGCGTTACAGACACTGTGTGTGTGTGTGTGTGTGTGTGTGTGTGTCTGTCTGTGTGTCTGTCTGTCTGTCTGTCTCTGTGTGTCTGTGTCTGTCTGTGTGTCTCTGTGTGTCTGTGTCTGTGTCTCTGTGTGCCTGTGTCTCTGTGTGTCTGTGTCTGTGTGTGTGTCGTCTGTGTGTCTCTGTGTCTGTGTCTGTGTGTCTCTGTGTCTGTGTGTGTGTGTCTGTGTCTCTGTGTGTCTCTGTGTCTGTTTGTCTCTGTGTGTCTGTGTCTGTGTGTCTCTGTGTCTCTGTGTCTGTGTGTCTGTGTCTGTGTGTCTGTGTGTCTCTGTGTGTCTCTGTGTGTCTCTGTGTCTGTGTGTGTGTGTCTGTGTCTGTGTGTCTGTGTGTCTCTGTGTGTCTGTGTCTGTGTCTCTGTGTGTCTCTATGTGTGTCTGTGTGTGTGTGTCTGTGTCTCTGTGTGTCTGTGTCTCTGTGTGTCTGTGACTCTGTGTCTCTGTGTCTGTGTGTGTCTGTCTGTGTGTGTGTCTCTGTGTCTGAGTCTGTGTCTCTGTGTGTCTGTTCTGCCTGTGGATGTTTATAATACTCTGGATGATCATATAGTTGAGTTAAATCATTATATTCTGGGCTGAATTATTAGGAAACCCAGGGCCAATTCGGTTTTTGTTTACTTTTAGTTTAGGTTGCATTTCTTGATCATATCCCTGTGTTTTTGTGTTTTACTTAAAGTAAAAAATAAACTTAATTTTGACTTAAATGTTAGGAAAAAATGGTGAACATTTTAATCTGACTGGAAAATTCTCTCATAATGTAGGGAACAAGTTTGTTTATAGTCAGAGCTGGGTAGTAACTGATTACATGATCTGGATTACATAATCGGATTCCAAAAATTAATTACTAGTTATTAGGGTATATAACATTTTAAAATGTTTAATCAGATTACTTTTTATGGATTGATTACATATTATTCACACAATGGCATTAAATTATTCAGAATGTATTGATTCTCCCTAATTCTTCTTTTTTAACTTTAAAATTTTCCTTTCTAAAAATCCTACTGTGTGCCATACTGTTTAACTTTGACTATATTCACACATTCACTCGTTGTGTAAATAAATGTGCAATCCATGGCACATTGAATTAAACGTGAAATTTTAAAATTGAAAAACTGAAATATATGGAAGGCATCTTTTTATCTCACAATTCTGACTTTTTTCTTGCAATTCTGAGGGAAAAAAATAATAATTGCAAGATGTAAACTCAGAAAACGGCAGAATTATGATATAAACTCAGAATTTAAAAAAAAAATCATATAAAAAATCATATCAAATTATATCAAATTATATCTCCAAATTTTGAGAGAAAATTACCTTTTTTATTTTTTTATTCTGTGGTGGGAACAAGCTTCCATAAGTAATAGTATTTTCTTGTAAAATGTAATCTTTGT